AATAAGTGATAGTAAAGCTTTCTAGTATTAAGATAATATGTAACTATTATACAGATAAAAACCAAAATATTGGTCAAAGGCAAAAGTTTAATTACAGCTTTATATTAAGTTAAGATCTAGGAAATAGGGGTGTGTGAGAGTGATGTGAGGTAAATGAAGGGAATTAAGAAACATCAGTCCATGTTTTTTAAAGCAAAAACACATTATTCGGAATAATTAACCATTAAAAATGGATGGAATAGTATTTTCCAAAGAAATTACATCTATCAAATTAATTACTTAAGATGATAATGACAATATGACTATTTTCTCATATTAAAGATATAGCATTTCAATTTCATGGGTAGATTTAAATATAATAACATAAAATATTAAAATGTTCATGTAAAAATCTAATAGCATAAAATAAAAACTTTTGCAATATGTATGATGTTGTAGAATTATAACAAATATATCATGAATCATAATTATCCTTTTAAATTCTTTTTGTACTCATATTTTTGTAAGTATGATTAAAGGGTTTATATATCAAAAGCAAATGTTAAACTAGTTGACATATTTCCCAATAAGCCACAATAATAGTCAGCTAGGAGTACCGAAATGTAGAGAAATTTGGAAAGTATAAGGTAATTGAGAGTTGAATAATTCCCAAACACTTTATGTTTAAAAATTAGAAAAGTGGACCACACATGTTAAATGCATAGAAAGCAACAAAAATGTTAAACAGAATTTACTGAAAAAGTGAAAATTTTTGTTAACTTACATTAAATTATTTTATAACAATAAAATTATAAGCCTGTGTGTTTCCTCTGTGTGATTTCATTAGTTTCGGAGATTAATCCTAAACTATAGTGTAATCAGTAGATATTTCTATATTTTAACTGTTCTGAATTTTGTTGTTTTCTAGATGCCTATGTACCAGAATCCTATTATCTCTTTTTTCTTATTTTAGTAATTTTATTGACATATAATTTATGTATCATATTCAATGGTTTAAATATATTAGAGAGTTTGCAATCATCACCAAAATCAATTTTACAATATTTTACCCATTTTTGTACTCATTATTTCCCCACTCTTCCTTATCTTCCCTTGCCATAACTGTAAGAATCTATTAATCTAGTTACTGTCTCTATAGGTTTACCTATCCTGGATTTCATATGAAGGAAGACATTTTTTAAATCCCAGAATAAAACACAGAAAAACTTCAGTCCAAAAGAAAGCAGAAAATAATAAAATTGAATAAATTCAAAATGGGTCAAAAGGGAAAACAAATGATTATGTTTAATTTTAACCAAACTATATCTGCATTACTTCACTGTCCAGTACCCTCTGTCTGAGTGCAAGTCTCTTCACATCCCTAGTCAATGGTCCAAGGGAATTCAATGGAGGTTTAATTTCCATAGGGACTCTGAAATGGGGACTTTGGGAACTGTCATCCATAGCCTTCTGCAAACCAGGTGCTCAGAATTTATTCTCTAATACAATTCCCTCCTGCGAGCTTAGATTTTATTATTTAAAATCCTTTGCTCACACAGGCTGGTGTCTTTCTTCTGTTTGGACTTTACTGACACCTCACTTCAATAGATACTTGGTTTAAGACAAGCTTTTAAGACCCTAGACACTATTCTGTGTGAGAGCTGATTGACCATCTGATTTCTTCCCTACACTTTGCTATAGCATCCATATTTTCAGTGATCTCTTCATGAGAGTAAGTTTTATATCTCCTGTATTTTTTTTATAGAACTGTCTATTTTGACCCAAGAAAAAATATTATATGGAACTACTAAATATTATTCTTACATGTCATTTCATTTTTCAGACTTAGTACACATCTTAGTGTGCTAAAACTTAGTAACATGAAAAAACAAGTATGTGGAAATATCTACAAGTTTTCATAATGTAGAATGCATTATTTCAAAATATAAAATATAGAGTCATAAGGGATTTTTATAAAACCACTAAGTCAGTGTTGATAGGGTCTGTAGAGTTGGTTCCAATGCACAATGACCCTACATGAAGCAGAACAAAATATTCTCTGACCCATCTTCAAATTTTTTGTTATGTTTGACTTCATTATTGCAGCCACCATGTCAATCCATATTCTAAAGGGTCTTATTCTTTATAGCTTACTCTCTACTTTGCCAAGCACGATATCCCTTCCCCGGTACTAATCCTAAGAGTTCATATTTCATATTCAAAGTATCTAAGAGAAAATCATTTTAGCTGTACTTCCTCTGAGACAGATTTGTTTCATCTTCTGGCAGTTGGTGGTGCTTTCAATATTCTTCGTCAACACCATAATCCCAAATGCACCAATCTTCTCTGGTCTTCCTTGTTCGTTGCCAGCATTCACATGCATCACAGGTGACTGAGGCCCTGTAGCATATTAAAGAGGTCTTGAGCAGCATGTGTGCCCAGTGCAATCCATCATTTGATCTCTGGACTGCTGCTACCATGAGGTTGGTTGTGAATTCATTTAAAACAAAATCATTGACAACTTCAATATTATTTTGGTTTATAATGATATTATCTATGGCCCAGTTGTGACACTTTTTGTTTCTTTATAGTGAGCTTCAATTTATACTGAAAGATATAGTCTCTGATCTTCAGCAAATGCCTCAAATCCTCCTCACTTTCAGGACACAAGGTTGTGTCATCTTTATAGGGCAGGATATCAATGAGCCTTCTTCTGATCCTGGTTCTGTGTTGGTCTTCATATAAGTTTGAATTCTGGGATTATTTGCTTAGCATATAGACTGAATATGAATGGTGAAAGGATATAATCCTGACATATGTCTCTTGTGATTTTGAACCATGTAGCATCCTGTTACTCTGTTCCTCCAGGTCCATGTACAGGTTCCACATGAGCACGATGAAGTGCTCTAGAATTCTCACTTTTTCAAGACTAAAGCTTGATATAATGTGCACAGTAAGATTCCTTTGCATGGTCAATAAAATACAAGTAAATATTTTTTCTGGAATTCCATACTTTCCACCAAGATCCATCTGACATTGGCAATAATATCCCTCTTGGATCAAGTCATCTTCTGATTTTGGACAGTGAGGAAAACTGAGGCCCTGGAAGGGAGTATCAAAGGCCTCATTTCTACGCTCATACCCACAGAGCTTGGAAGACTGGCTCTAGCGGGAGAAGATAAAACCTAAAACACATTCTCACACTGAAAATCATCCCCTCGATAGCCCCCCTAAAGGTGCGAACATAAAAGTTGTCTCCTGCATGCACTTGGCTGCTCACTCTGCGGCTGAAGACTGCCTGTCTTTAAGGGCAATCGGATGCTTTTGTCCTTCCCACCCCAAGTGCAGCTGACTCCCTTCTGATGCCTCCTTCTGACACTGACCATAGATTGTTCCCCCCTGGAGAGAGCTCAGGGACATCCAAGGTTAAGCCACTGTCCACTCCATTACGTATGTGCCTGCTGAAAGCTTGCAAGCCTCAGGACTACATAAACCCATTGGAAAATATATTAGCTCTCTTGATTCCAGTATCAGGACAAGCCCTTGTGCCCTGCTGTCACCCTTTTCCCCATAATTGCACACACTGTTCCTCAGAACCTGTTTGGTTGTCGGGCTGGATACCACAGGACAGACTTTCTGGCAGCTCCCTATTTAACTGCTGCAGCCATTGTTGAATTATTTCAGCAAGATTTTACTTTCATATTATAATAATGACGCTGTTTAATATTCTCACTTTCTGTTGGTCACTTGTCTTTAAAGCGGCCTGAACACAGATCTCTTCCATTGAGTTGTCCGAGAGCTGTCTTCCAGAGGTCTTGGCAGGGAACAGTGAGCACGTGCAGAGCTTCGCCAGTTGGTTGAGATATTTCCACTGAATTCCTGAAGGTTCTTGATCACATGCTCCTTCTTGAAATGGTTGATTGTCAACCAGTGTTGTTTGGTACCATGTCTGTGTGTTTCTTCTAGCTTCCTTTGACGCTTCTTGCACTGTGCACTATTTTGCCCAGGGATCGTTAAATATTATCCTTCAGTTGTACAGGCTTTCACCCCAGTTCTTTCAGTTTGAGATGCTTGATGTTTTCTTGCTTTTCTAACTCTAAGTCTTTTCACATTTGTTTTAATACTCTGTCTTCTCAAGCTGCCCTTTGAAATCCTCTGTTCAGCATATTTACTTCATCATTACCTCCGTTTTCTTTACATGTGAGAACACGTTTCACAATCTCTTTGGACAACTACTTTGGTCTTTCTTTCCTTTATTTTTATTTCATGTTCTTAATCCCACCACTCATCAAGTCAGACTCATACTGACCTTATGTGACCTTATAGTCCAACGTGGAACTGTTCCTGAGAACTTGTGGTACTGGACATTTTTACAAGAGTAAACAGCTTTCTCTTTCTCCACAGAGAGGCAGAGGGATTTGTGGTTAGCAGTTCAACTCACTGTGCCACAAGGGCTCCTAACAGTAATTAAAAAACAAATACCCTCACTGCCGTCAAGTTGATTCTGACTCATAATGACTGTACAGGACCAGTTTCTTGAGATATTTCTGCCCCTGTGGGTTTCTGAGACGGTACATTTGCACAGAAGTAGAAAGCCTCATCTTCCAATCGCAAACTGATTGGTGATTTTGAACTGCTGACCTTGTGGTTAGTAGCCCAATGTATAACCACTACACCATGGTCACATAGACATACATTAATGAGCTACAACAACCCCAAAAGAACACACTAAAGTGCACCAAAATGGTAACACAGTGTCTTTGTTTTATTATACACTTGGGACACAGATAATGATCATTGCATATTTGTTATTTTCTCAAATAACTCTTGCTACTTTTATAGCCAGAATAAATACTTCAATAAATAATTTAGTCCTCCAAAAATGCTCTAAAAATAATTGAATATCCAAGCTCTTAAGAATGTTATGGTTTTTAATGTCTGATTTTGTTTATAACACTATTTAATTTAACTGAAAAACTTATAACTACATTAATTTATTGTAAAAGATTTTGGAAAATTACCACTTTCTGCAGTTTGAAAGAGAAAGGGGTCACTAAATACTCCGATGCCAGCACTATTTTCAGCGGCAACCTAGAATTAAAAAAATTAATTATGGTCAAACTGTTTGCTAAATGGTATCTGAAATAATTAAACTTTGATTTTTATAATATAGATACTGATGGTAATTTTTTCCATTCTACAATATCCTCAATGTAGAAGGCATAGTATTTCTCCTAAAACCATGTTTGTATATACTTTGATTCAATAGATTATCCCAATTCCTAGGTAAGAAATCAATAATCAAATATTTATAGTAATAAGTTATTTTTGGGAGCTGCTGTGTAATAGGCAATCATGTATGGTTGTTAAGTATCTCATTTTATTCATGGAACCAAAGTATAACATATCATTATCATCTGGGGTTTAAAATATCTAATTTTATTCACAGAACCAAAGTATAACATACCATTATCATTTGGGCTTTAAAATATCTCATTTTATTCATAAATTAAAATGTAATATATGATTGTCAACATTTTTAGATGACACAACTAGTCAAAAGAAGTTAAGTAACTTGTCTAAGATCACACAAGACTGAGAGGTAGAAGCAGAATTGACTTAAAATTATGCTTATTTACAAATTTCAACCTTGTCTACTACATCTACTCTGCATCAGAAATTATTTTTATAATGGAGTTTCAAAAAGTTCATGGAAAATACGGAATTTAAAGATAATGGGATTTTCACACAACTTTTTAAAAAGCTCACTCATAATTTTATAATGAATACAAAAGGCCATGTATATAGTAACTGACTTTGCAATTTGCAATTTAATTAGGTAAATATTCGAGAAAACCTTTTAAAGACAATAATTAAGTCTAATTAATAATTTAGACTAAGTGCCCTGAAATTTAAGGGATGGGAAATTATTCTGGCTACAGGAGGGCAGACAAATACATATACATAGAAGAGGCAGAGAAAGTGTCATCAGTGAGAACAATGGATCATTGGGAATTGGGCTCTGAATGATAACTGAGCTTTGAGAAGAGAGAAAATGACATTCTAGTGAAAGAGACAAATCAGAAATATAACAGCCATATTTTTGCAGCTGCATAATTTGTGAAAAATGAAATGTCATGGCTGTGTTTGCTATTAGAAAGCTGTTTCTTGGGGTTTTTTTGTAACGATGGATAAAATATCCAATACTATCCCAAATGCTAGCAATGGAATAATAGAAAGTAAAATGTGCACGATTGTTTCAGAGTAATAGATGTTCTTGTCAATTAAAAAAGAAGATTATTTTGATATAAGTTTAATGAAAATAGAAGTAATAAAAAAGGAAGCATGGTATAAATTGTCTCTTTCTAGTTATACCATTGAATAAACCTAATCAAATCCTATTGCCATCAAGTCTTTTCTGACTCACAGTGGCCCTACCTAAGGTTTCTGAGTCTGTCAATCTTTATAAGAGAAGACAGCCTCCTCTTTCTCCAGAGGACTAGTTGGTGGGTTTGAACTGTCGGTGCTGTGGTTAAGAACCATGTCTAACCATGGCACCATCATGCCTCCTAGGTGTGGTAAAAATCAAGTCCTTCTGAGTTCCAGGTATCTTTTTAAGAAAGGGCTACAAAGAGTTCATGGAAAAATACATTATCGTTGCATGAAATTTTCCCACAAGCTTTTTTGAAGTCCCCTCATATAGTTTGTAGTATGTGGTGATTCCCTCTTTTTTGGTGGGTGTCTGTGTGATAATTTTTATATCTTTACTTTTCTTTTTAACTAGGAGCTCTGGTGGCATAGAGGTTACACATGGGAATGCTAACTACAAGGTTAGAAGTTTGAAACCAGCAGCCACTCTGTGTGAAAAAGATGTGGCTTTTACTCATACAAAGAGTATCAGTCTCGGAAACCCACTGGGGCAGTTCTATCCTGTCTGAAGGGTCCCTAGAAGGTAAAATGGACTCAATTGCAGTGAGTTTAGCTTTTTTACAAGTAGGAATCTAGGAAAATGGGAAACCATCAAAAAGGAAATGGAAGCCACCAAAAGAGGAATATCCTAGGCTGCAATGGACTGCTATTGGCTATGCCCATGAAGTGAACTAAAAGGGGGGCATAGCTGACCTTCTCTAGGAGAAGGAGAATCCAACTCCTGACCAGACCAAAGCCTCTTGCCACAAGTCAGGATCAGTCACCGCGTAGTTACAGTCATTGGTCTATGGCAACACCACACCTCAGCCAGTAATGAAATCTCTTTCCAGTTTTCAACCTCTTATCCACATGGTCCCTTGGCCTTTGCGTCCATGGGCCAGGAAGTTAACCTGCTGCTCTGCTTTACAGTTGTAATATTTCAGTGCTGCTCCCCTGCACTATTCAATGTCCTCCTTGATGCTGCCCCTAGAACTGGCCTCTACCACTTCAGACAGAGATCTCAATGTGCCCCCATGATGACTCTTCTTCCTTGATGGTCCTGCTTGCCTTCCCTGTACCAAATCAAATCAAATGGATTTCTCTGTGCTTGCTTCTGAGATGGCTCATTATTATGATCAAGAGAATGGGAAAATTGACTAATCCTCTCTAATAGTTTATTTGCATAGTCCTGCCCAGTCACGCACTGGCACTTATTGAGACATGGACAGAAGAGCTATAGTAAGAAAGTTCACTTCATCACAGCCATTTTAGTCAGGCAACCATATGACTTACTATGTCAGCCATGCGAAATCAAAGAGGAATGGTGTTGTATGCATGGTTAAAAGGAATATTTTAATATATATCTTAAATACAATAATGCTCTTATGAAAGAATAACAGCAATATCCATATAAGGAAGTGAAATTAACACTAATATTATCCAATACTAGTTACATCAGTTCAATGTTATTAGTTCAATGTTACACCCAAACCACTAAAGTTAGAGTTGAAGAAATTGAAAAATTCGACCAACTTCTTCAGTCCAAAATTGATCAAACATCAGTCAAGATGCATTAATAATTAGTGGTCATTGGAATGTGAAAGTTGGAAACAAGGAGGAAGGTGAATAGTTGGAAACTATGGTCTTGGTGGTAGAAAGAAAGCTGGAGAGAGTACGGTAGAGTTTTGAAAGACTAATGACTTCTTCATTTCAAATACGTTTTTCCCACAACAACATGAATTACAATACAAATAGACTTTGCCAGATGGAGTATGTAGGCATCAAATAGACTAGTTCTATGGAAATGCACAATGGAGAAGTTCAATGTCATCAGCCAAGATTAGAGATCAACTGTGGAATAGACCATCAATTGCTCATGTGCATGTTCAGGTTGAAAGTTGTAAGACGATTTTTAAAACGTCCATGACAACCAAAATACGACCTTGAGTATATTCCACCTCAATTTTGAAAACATTTCAAAAACAGATTTGATTAACTGATCACTTATGAGTTGATGAGTTGTGGGATTGAGAACATCATACAGGATGAAAAGGTCATTAAAAATAAAGAGAAGAAAGAAAAAACCAAAGTGGATGTTAGAAAAGATTGTGAAGCTTGTTTTCAATTGTAGAGTAACTAAGGCAAATGGAAGCAATGTTGGAGTAAAAGATCTGAACAGAAATTTTCAAAAAGCCGTTTGAGAGCACTGCAGGCTATTGTAATGAACTGTGCAAAGACCTAAAAGTAGAAAGCCACAAAAGGAACAACGCTCACCATATCTCAAGCTGAAAGCATTGAAGAAAGAATAGAGTCTCGCGTTGTAAGACTGAAGGGTGAGTCCTTCTACTCCCATAGTTACAATCTTGAAAACCCACATGAGTAGTTCTAAAGTTCT